TAAAGCTTTTTTTTTTTTTTTTTAAGTTGCTCATGCATCTTTTTGGACTGTTTCTTAAAACGGCCTTTTTACCCTCTATAAAGCCTATTGCTTCAAACATGAGCTGGTTCTACCTGATCGATTTCTTTGTCCGCTTATTTCTCTTTAGTATTAGAATTGGGAAACAGGTTTGTTTGAGGTGAATTGTTTTGTTTGGATGGGAACGTTGCTCTCTCGCTCCGTATCCGTCTTCTTTCCTCAGAGTGGATCTGTCAGGAGATCAGTTCTCACTTTAATTGGATTTCTTTGTCCCTGACAGATGCTGTGTTAGTTTCTGACCCTCAGGAGCTGAGTAATCTAAATCCAGTTTGCCAACAGTGAACTAATGCTTCCTAGCTCAGACACTTTTCATCTTCTGGTCAGTGCAACCTAGGAGACATTTTAGGCTTTGATGAAATCCAAATACAATGAACCTTTCTAGCTTTTTAAAAAAATCTATTTTACAATCTACAACAAACCAAACCATGCGTTTTTATGCTAGTTAATAGGGATGATGTCCAGATACAACTTTTTCATTTCCAATAGAATACAGACAATAGATCTGAGAATTGCCTGATAGTGATATTGACCTGATACCATATCAGCATGACTCACACAAGCCTTTATTATTTATTTTATACTGTGCGATGTTAGAAAAGGCTTGATTGAGTAATATTACTGAAACAGGGAACAAAAGTCATCAACTAAATGTAAGAACACAATTGACCCATGCTTTACTTTTTTCTGTTCTTTGCAGCTCTAATGTGATCATCTGAATGATTTAATACATCTGCAGCTCATCCTTAAAACATACTCTGTGTTGAATATACATTTTCTATTAATGATCAGTCTTGTAGAATATTGTTGAAGTTTATTTTTTACCTATATTCTTCCTTCTTCTCTGTATGCAGCTGCGTTTAGTTTTCCTGCTGGCTCCAGCTTCTGATGCCAAAAACAAACCAAACATCTAATTTATGTTTTGACTTAAAGCATGATTTTCCGTCTTTGTCTTTCTTTAAGAATTTAAAACTTAAAACAATTTAATCTAATTTAGCGTACACTGCGATACTACATTTCTTCTAAATCTTTTATTATTTTTTTTATCTCAAATTAAAAGTTTGTATAAAAAGGAAAAATGTACTGTTTAGTTCTGTAATATTTGTGTTATAACCATCTCAGTGCTGCCCCCTAGGGTTGAACAGAGGCTATTGCAGTTGAATTTTTCTATTTGTTTAATAGTACAGGTTTAAGTTTGAAAACAGTTCATGCTATGCACAAAGCGTCCATCAAGATCTGGTGTCTAGGGGGTTAAAAATCTTTCATTTCAACAGATCTATGCATGAAATAAAGGCTAAGCTAGGCTAGGCTAATCTTTCTCCTACTTTCTCATCCTGACTGCACCCTCACTAAAGGCCAATTTATGCTTCTTACACATAGCCTCTGCAGCCATCAAATCTAAAAAAAAAATCCTGACTGTGATTGGTCCTTGGTATGCCTTTCCGACTGTCTGTGTGGTCGTCCTTCTCGATTTAGTGCTCAAGAGCAACGTAATCAACCACGTGACCAAAGCGCGC